GTCCGGGCTGGGGATTCGAACCCGCCACCTTAGGTGTACGTGGCTGGCGCCTTAGCCGGTTGAGCTATAGGCGCCGAGCCTGGTCTCGAACTCTTAAGCTCAAGCAATTTACCTGCCTTGGCCGCCCAGAGTATTAGGAATACAGGTACGAGCCACCATGCCCAGCCGGTACACTTCATTAAAAGTGCCTCAAAATGGTCCCTATTGGACCAGGAGAGTTGATTTTGTTTTGTAGGATTCACATTTATATATACCTTTTACCCCTTTGGAACTGAGACACTGAAATGCTAAAACTTCTTCCCTTCCCTTACTCTAATCCTCAGAAATGTGTACAAGAAAGTAAGTCCCAGGAGCCAGGTACGGTGGCTCACTTCTATAATCCTAGCTTTCTGGGAGGCTGAGGCAGGTGAATTGCCTGTGCTCAGGAGTTCAAGACCAGCCTGAGCAAGAGCAAGACCCAGTCTCTAAAAATAGCCAGGCGTTGTAGGGGTTACCTGTCTGTAGTCCCAGCTACTCGGGAGGCTGAGGCAAGAGAATCACTTGAGCCCAAGAGTCTGAGGTTGCTATGAGCTATGACCCCATAGCAAGGGCGACAAAGTGAGACTCTGTCTCCAAAAAAAGGAAGAAAGTAAGTCCCGGATATAGGGCCGTGATTAGCGATTTAAACAGGATCCCTTATAAAGAAAAGAGAAAACCTTGCTTTTTTTTTTTTTTAACTCTTAGCTCGCCTGTTTAAAAACTGAATGAGATTGCCAACAAAGGCCAACAGATCTCAGAGCAGAGGAAGTGGAGTTTTCCAAAGACATGACTATAGTCCCTCTATTTTTGTTCCTTTTACCCCTAAATGAGATAACGCTAATAGTAGCACCACTAGGACCAAAGATAAACTGGGCACAAAGACAAGAAATCACAAACATGAACAGGCCACCTTAAATAACAAATTCATTAAATGTATATTTACAATGGTACTACTTATTGCTGGTCACTACAAACAGAAGGGTACACAAGACAGGCACAAACTCTACACTCATGAAACTGACAGTCTTGGGGATTATTCCCTTTACTGAAGTGACTGACTTGCTTGTGGCCTTAGCCTCTCTGGCCCTCAATTAGCACCTTTCTGAAATGAAGAAATGCAGGCTGACCAGCTCTACCAAGGGTTCTAGAAGAAGGCCACCTCTGCTGGGTGCTGCTGTCAGGGCTTATATCCATTGTATTTCTACCTCTCAGTATGTTTTTCACCCTGAAAAATGATTTTCCATGCCCTCCTTCCCACCCAGTGTCCTATAGTGATATTAATATCACTTCCAAACACATGTTCCCGGCCATAGAAGATCTCAAGACTTGAAGGAGAGAAAAGGTGGGATGCCTGGATAAGCAGTCCTTTCCTGCACCAACATCCTGTGATTCTGTGAAAAGTATGAATACGCAGAGGTGGCACAGCACACTGGCTCAGAGTGTCAGCTCCGGAATCAGACGTGAGTTTGGATTCACCACTTTCTAGCTGTGTGACCTTTATTAGTAAATCTAGCCTCAGTTTCTTCATAGTAAAAGGAAGATAAGGAGGGTTATCGTGAGGACTAAATGACATGGTGCCTTGAACATGTTCACAGTTCAATAAAAGTTTGCTCCTTATATTCTTCTGTTGTCATTAATGTTATCACTGTTACTGTTAACTCAAGCAAGACAGCTCTAATCCTATGTGCATCATTTCAGATGCTGTAGTACTTTAAGAATTTAATTTTTTTTTTTTTTGAGACAGAGTCTCACTTTGTTGCCCTTGACAGAATGATGTGGCATCACAGCTCACAGCAACCTCCAACTCCTGGGCTTGGGCAATTCTCTTGCCTCAGCTTCCTGAGTAGCTGGGACTACAGGCACCTGCCACAACGCCCAGCTAGTTTTTGTTGCAGTTTGGCCAGGGCTGGGCTCGAACCCACCACCCTTGGTATATGGGGCTGGCATCCTACTCACTGAGCCACATACTGTGCATTCTAAAAGGCTGAGGTGGGTAGATTGCTTGAGCTCAGGAGTTCAAGACCAGCCTGAGCAAGAAAGATACCCCACCTCTACTAAAAATTGGAAAACTAGGTGGGTATTGTAGTGGGTGCCTGTAGACCCAGCTACTCAGGAGGCTGAGGCAAGAGAATCACTTTAGCCTAAGAGTTTGAGGTTGCTGTGAGCTATGACGCCACGGCACTCTACCAAAGGCAACAAAGTGAGACTCTGTCTCAAAAAAAATAAATAAATAAAAGTTGATCTTCAGTACCAAGTAGGACCTTTCATTCCTCTGTTGCAGCAGTTGATAAAAGTCCTAAGTACATGCACTGTCTTGCATGCCACCTGTATGTGCCATATTATCTGTACTCTAGGGTTTATCAGAAAGGTCTTCCATAAAAAAGGATAAAAATATCCTCCTCCAAGGGCACACAGATGTTTCCTTTATATATCTTCCTTCAGAGTCAATTATTCCCATTTCAAAACCTTGGAACTGATCTGAAGATCCGGGCACAGCTGCAGGTTGAACAAAATCAGGCAGAAAAAAGAAAAATAAACCAGTTCAAGTATGTAGAATGTTACAATCGATATCTGAGGTCAAGAACTCTCCTGTACATCTGCATGCACATCAGGATTGAGAATAAGGAGAGCTGGCTCAGTGCCTGTAGCTCAAGCAGCTAGGGTGCCAGCCACATACACCAGAGTTGGCGGGTTCGAATCCAGCCCAGGCCCGCCAAACAGCAATGACAACTATAACCAAAAAATAGGCAGGCGTTGTGGTGGGCACCTGCAGTCTCAGCTACTTGGGAGGCTGAGACAAGAAGATCACTTAAGCCCAAGAGTTTGAGGTTGCTGTGAGCTGTGATACCACACCACTCTACCCAGGATGACAGCTTGAGACTCTGTCTTTAAAAAAAGAAAGAAAGAAAGAAAGAAAGAGAATAAGGAGAGCTACACTGGAAGAAAATAGTCTGCTGAGGCAAACTCACTTAACTGCTCTTATTGCAGCCAGAGTACACGGAAAATGTTGTGGCTGGAGGAAAAAAAACCCCCTTACTTTAACAGTATCCTTCTGACAGCTTTTATTTTATAACCAGTATGCAGGAAATCAGGTTACCGGAGAATCAGAATAATGAAAACATTTCAAAATAAACAATGATTCTGACCAGCAAGGTTTTGTTATCAATGAATTCCCAAGAGTTTCAAAATACCCCTCACCGTTAATGAATGAATAGTCCAAGGTCGAATCTCTCTACTTTTCAAAAAAATCACCCTCAAAAAACAGAAGAGTAACTAACAATAGCAGAGTGCTCAAGAATTTAATAAAGCAAAGAAAGTAAATCACTCTTCAATTCTATAAGTGACTTCTATACTTAGCTTAGGTTAGATTCATGCCAGTAATACTGGTTCCAGGTTTTTTGGCTCCCGGATTCTTATCTTTTAGGTTCAATTAACCTTTCCTATCTATTAATTTACCACTTTTTGAGTGACTTCTAAGTAAGTTTTACTCTTTTTTTTTTTTTTT